CATGACTGCAATATCGATCTCTTAAAGACAAATTAAAGAAATTTCACACCTTTAAAATTTTTCTTTTGTTTTAGGATGGGAAACTCGAGCTCTTTCTACAAAGCACAACCTTTGCAACAAGGGCTTCATGCTCTAGAACATTCCATCTTTATAGCAATAGCGACAAAAAAATAAAAATTCAGAATCCACTTTGACTCGGCATTAAGAAGCGTCTGGATGTGATTCATAAATTCAGACAAATGAGAAATAACGTTTACATTTGCGTTATATGTCCTTTTTATAAAGCCCACTGCGTAACAGCATAGTAATTACGAAGTTATATTGTATCCTCGGCTAAAACAAGAACTAGAAACATAAAACATCCAAATCTTCTTGATACTTCTGTGAGAATTATGATAGAACAACTTCTTGTAAAGAACTATTGTATGGAATACGTATAGTTTTAGAAATGGTTGAAGATATACATAGTACATGAGTAAGTTTTGTTATAATTAACATGCTATCTTTTATGGTGAATCTTTCCCCCACTTTCATAATTATTCTACTGAACTAAAAATTGCATATGAAGTTAGTTTAAATGACCAGAAAAAATCTAAGTTTAGAGAGACAGCTTTGACAACTTAGGACTCTTAGTGTGTGATTCTGTTTCTTATTTCTGGAGTGCAGATTGTTGACGAGTTAGCGTTTCAGTTGTGATTACGTTACAACGCGCGTTCGCACAGGACCCGTGTTCTGGATCTTAAATATTTGATTAGTAGTCAACAGACTAATTAATATATTATCAGGCCGAAAGCAACAAAAGTTAAGTTTTGTTACTTTTCTGAGTTGTAACTTAAAGATGAAGTACTAATAAAGATTTTAGTTTGATTTATTCATTTGCTGGTATTGGTATATGTTACAAAAGGATGAAACATTGTCCATATATTTTCTATTTTAATCCCAATATTTTTAAAACACTAAATAATTTGTTCAAATTGCCAAAATTTTGGTGAAATTTCTGGGAAAGGGACAATTTGGTTTGTTAACACCGACTCACCAATTTATTTACAAATCTAATTTTCTTTATACCAAATGGGTATGAATTACAAATCTTGTTCAAATATTTTCCAATAAATTTCCAAGTACATTATTAATTGAAAATACATTTTAACTTTATTTCATATAAAGACAATAATGTAATGCAATTTAACAAATAAAAAGAAGTATAGCTCTCAGGGAATCGAAGGAGATGAATATAGTAAATTATTGCGAAACTAAGAGACTTTATTATTAGCCAAGAAACCAAGAGACGCAAGTAATTATAGAAGCACGATTCTAACCTAAACCAAAGACTCATTAACTTGCTTCGCAGTTAATTTAATCCACGGACCACTGCATGAAATACCAGAAGGACACTGTTCCCTTCTACTGGCATATATGCCAGGGCAAATCTGCCGGAAGTCTTTTCAGCCCCCGTGAGATTAATTCAAACACTGTTCATTCAAAGTTTACTAATCCGTGTAGACCAAATAGAATCAATTCTTAAAGAGCTCATAGCAAAGCTTCTCTGTACATAAATTTTAAGATTCGGTTTGAACATAAAAAATCCTCTTACATTTCTCAAAGCTAAATTTAATTTATTTTCTTTGAAAAATGTTCAGAAAACGCAAGAAAGGAAGCCATAAATAAATTTTAAACTACTTACTAGACGAATAAGAATATTGTAAGCTTTAATAATATTGCTAAATTTGAATAAGAATTTTTCAAGCTGTAACATTATAATTAATGCTGTATCTAAAATTATAAAAATAAAATTTTTATATTTTGTTAGTCCAAGGGGGTAATGTGCACAGAAGGTCTATTAATTTCGTTTTGGCATTTTGCCACAGTTTATTGTAAACAGAATTTCACTTTTCAAATTGTTGCCACCATGTATTAGAGCCCTGCATTATATTTATAGAAATTAAATAATTAAGAATCTGCATGAATGTATGCACCGTGAAAAAGCAACTGTACCTAAAGACATCAAATTTCGAATAAAGTAGTCCTCCACTCGAATACGGGCAATTGGAACCCATTTTTAGAATTTGTTTTATTATCTATTCCATATTTTATAAAACTTATACGAATTTTTGATTAACAAACTCAACGATTTCAAAGCGCGTAATGGCAGCACTGTACGAAAAAAATAAACATTTTTATCTCCAGCGCTCGAGACTGTGTATCGGAAGTTCTAAAGATATGTTCATTTAAAAATTATTTTGCGATATTGCTGTTGAACTGAATTTCATGGTTTAAGTGCGAAGAACATGATATTTAATAAATAAAGGTAACACACAAAACGTTAAAAAAACGCCCCTTTGGGTGCATTGTGTAATCTGAAATCTTTCATATTTTTCTTTTCTTTTTAATAATTGCATTATTTTTAATATGTCTTTTATATGCACTTTTTAGCCCTTTTGTAGCCAGAAAGGCTTTTAATTTTGTTTAGGCGTTTTGCGTTGAAAACTTAAATGCGTTGAATCACTTTTCAAATTTTTGCCACCAAATGCTATCACCCTATATTATATTTTAAAGAAATTAAATAATGAAGAAACTGCATAAATGTATGTATGTTCCTTGCAATGTGATAAAACAACGGTACCTAGAACGACATAATCCTGCATTCTAAAGATATGCTCAATTAAAAATTATTTTGCGATATTGCTCTTGAACTGAATTTTATGGTTTAAGTGCGAAAAACAAGATATTTAATGAATATAAGTAACACACAAAATCTTAAAAAAACGCCCCTTTGGACATACTTGAAATTTAAAATCTGAAACGTTTTAGATTTTCTTAATTTTTAAAATTTTGTACTGATGATTCACGTTACTTTAAAATAAGGTAAAAGAACACGTAGCTAAAATTCCAGTTATAAGTAATATAGTCGCATTTATCTTAAATGTGGATCTGAGCATTTAATAAAAATAACAGTTTTCAAAAATATAACAATCTAAAATTTGCTTTGTAAGCCTGAATTGAAAGTAATAACTCAAAATGTTTATTGAGTTGAATAGGCAAGCACCTTTCCCATGGCATATGCATAATCGAGTCTTCTGCTTAACTTTGTTATGTAATGGGAAGACGGTAAAATTTCTAACATTCACTCATCTGCAACATTCAGCTCAATTTGTTCTAACTTGTTGACACAGCACTTAAGGAGAAATAATTACTTTAATATTAATGAAGGAATTTACTCGCTACATACTAAGCTAAAAGAGGTCATTAGTTTGAGCTATTAGATGAAGTTGGTTTCTTCGTTTGGAGGAAGCACTGATTTTGAAGAGTTTTATGGCTATTCAGAAAATACGCTGAAGGCAGATTTATAAAGGCTGCGTCTTTTTTCAGAAATCTTAATTTTAGAGGATATAAAGGAATGAGAACATAACTGTAGACAAATGTCCTAAATATATTTTTATTATTTGCTATTTATGAGCATGGCATTTCTAATGACTGTCGGAAAGTTGCTGTAAATTTTATAAATATGCGTTACAAGAAGGAATTTTTACAAAATAGCTTTAAACACATATATAAAGAAAACTTATACAACATCTATATAATAATATTTATAACTTATAAAACATATTATACATTATAAAACTTATAATAATTAAGCTGAAAATATAAATATTTGGATAGTATTTTAGAGTGTGTCCGTTGCTATATATTTCTTTGTAATAGAATTTACATAGCAGGTAATACCTGCTACAAAGAATCAGAGAATTACTGTGAATACTGTTGCAAGGAATCAAGCAATTATTGTCTTTTAGAGATAATAGATTTATGAAAATGGTTTACATTCAGATTTTATTTTAAGATCGGATTTTGGTAACTTTAAGACACTGAATGCATGAAAATCATGGTTCTTAAAATCATGAAATTTTCAAATAAAAATAATATACTTTTATAATTCAGTAAGCAATTCGAAGAAATTTCATTGGAAAAGGAAAGCAAACCATCCTAAGACAAAAAGGCCAAAATGATTTAATGTGAATTAGATATGAAACTTTGTGTTTACACGAGAGTAAAAAGCAATTGCATAAAATTACTGTGAATATAAACAAGGTAATTTAATATTATAATTGAATTTGATAATGAACATTTATATAATTATTTAAATGTAACATTTTATTTTACAATATCCATGGAATTCGAGCCACGTATGCTCTGTGTTAACTGAACGTGTCAACTATTCACATTAAGCATCAGGCATTGAGGAATGTGATAATTTATTATGAAATATTTTTTGTTTTCTATAATATGTGCAATAAAATCTGTTTCATTTATAAGACTTATTAGGGTATCTAAATAATTTGAAGTTAAACAAGCCGTCAGCCAGAAATTCAAAGGCGAACATATGTGATGTTGAAACACGAAACACCAGAGCTAATAAATTTTCAAGCAGCACATACGTTAGAAATTAATTAAAAAAATTCTCGCTTCTGAAAACGAATTCTTATCGCTCATTAGTAAAAAAAAACGCAATGAAGATGTGTTTCCTTAGAATAATATTTTTTTGCGACATGGAAAAATACTTTTTACTTTTATTTTTGTATTTTTTCTACCGGAATAATCCTGAAGAAGCAAGCAATAAACCCATTTGAATAACATCAGATATTTATTTCGGTTAGATACTCATTATTACTATACGTTTCATCAAAAATTTCTTGTACACTGTAATTTTTAATGTAAAATTATTAAATCGTAACTGGAAATTTCAAATTCAGTGTAACAAGCACCAAGAAATAAGATGAACATTACACATACGTATTTATGTATTCTTATACATATCTTCCTTTATTGATTCACCACGAAAAGCAAATACAAAAGGAAGTACACTGAAACTACCGAAGAAAAGGGGAGTAAACTTAAAGTAAATCAGCAAATAAAAAGTGTATCAGTAAAATTCGTTTTAAATAGAGTAGTATAAAGATAAATTTAACGAACAAAGCCTAACAACGGAAGAATCTGTGACTTACCTGAGCTACTCCTTCTAACCACATCGTCCATGCTTACTGATGTTCTTCGTGACTGTAACCGCAAAAGAGGAGGTCTGTGAGGATAACCTGTTGCTTGTTCCATTGAATACTGAACCGGTAAGCTATAAAATAAAAAATATGCAGTCATATAAAATCGTAAAATTTAAGCATGTTAATTGCAACACATACCTGGTGATTCAACTGAGTATGTACAAATTTCTGAAAAGAGACGGTTGCACAAAGATAAGCAGGAATCATATAACATTGCAGGGTTTGAAACGCGAACTTCATATCTTAGTATATGGGAAGAACGAGAAATTAAACAGCCGCACGCCCTTAAGAGATATTTTTGCATACTATATATTAGCAAAATATATTTATAATACAGATTGTGCTCAGATTTGCAACCGTGAACTATAACACACATTTGAGATCATAGGCGCATGGAATCACGTACATTTTGGAATATTCCTGGCTTGTTTTAGACTTTTGAAACAGTTACATAGCGAGAGAAATATGCTAGTTCTGATCAATTTATGGGGGTTTTGTACATCAGCCATTTTATGTAATCATAAAATAAGTAATCAAGACCCGTCGTTAAGTTAAACTACTTTCCAGGTGGGCCGAAACATGACGGCATCCTGAAAGAACATATAAGCAATGGCCGGACAAAACCATTTGCGAATTACATTTACGTCTCAGACCTTACATTTCTACATGATTCTGATTTGTCTTCATGCACTTGCCTCTTCCAGGAGTTTGTATCCGCTTAGCACAACCCCATGAAGTTTTATTGTAATTGTTATCGGATGTTTGTTGTAAAAACTCTAAATCTTTATAAGTGCTACTTAAGAATAAATTGAATGAACTAGGGATGTCTCGAAATATAGCAAAGGATTCTTACCAGCACTGTCAGAGCAACGTACTATCGACCTTAAGTTTTGCAAGGAAGCCAAAATAACAATAAATTTTAACAAAAGCTTAGCTAAAAGTGCTATTCGCTTCGGAGTGTTTGAAATCTTTCTTTTCGTGAAAATAATAAAAATATTTATAGTTGCTGGAATATAATAATATTTATATTCCTGAATGGTTATCGGATTTGACTCAGCGACCAGCAAAATGTGAGAACAAAGAAACCTATTATTTTCATGCCACATGTTAGTTGCTATTTTTGTATTTTGCTTCATGTTATATGACGCAAAATTTTGACAACCAAAGCATTTTGTTCAAATGGACCTTTGATCAAATAATAACATATTGATTTATCCGGAATAATTTTTTTTTCGAATCTTCACACAGCTGTGCATGATCACAACATGCCTAGAAGGATTACTATCAGAACGTTGAAGGAATGTTATATGAAATACTAGTCATTCTATGGACGTGGTTATCTCCTCATGACAGATTTTTCTAAGTGGTGCATCGATTTAAGGAAGGAGGCAAATTGTTTGATGTGCCTAAATGTAAATGTGGTGAGTAAGCAGGATGTGGCAAAGTATAAATGTGCTTTGTGTTAAATGATGGCAGTCTTGTAATAAACGCGTGATAGGAATGACAATTTTATGTGATCTTTTCTCGATATTCTGATTGGGTACATTCGCCGTATAACGCGCAACCTTATTCCAAATGCTTCACCCCAGTCCAAAAATAATGTGTGAAGGTATAACAAAAGCATAAAATGAAATTAATCCTGACATAATTCAAAAGTCATTTAAAACTGTAGTATATCTAACAACATAGATGGAGCAGAAGATAATTATTTATTTATGGATCAGAGTAACAGTGATGGTAAAGATGAAGCAGAATTCGATAATACCCGAAGATATAACGGAAAACCAATAGACAAACTTTTCCTGTTATCCGATAATGAAAGTTTTTAAGTTCATAGTGCATGTCATTTCTTTTATTTCTAAATCAGTTCCTTTTTAAATAGTACCGAAGGGTTTGATATTATTTCATGTAAAGCCTTGAAATGAAATGTCTATTTCATTTATCTTAAATAAAGATAATAGTTATCCACATCGAGAAACAAAGTCATTTTCACAAGCTACAAAATAAATGTGTAAATATGAAATTTTCTAGGTTGTCCTGGAAACCTTGATTTATATTTCTGATTACATCGTTCAAAAGCGTGAATCTCATGTTCTTCTTCTGATCTGGTAGAATGGAAAATATCAGCTGGAAGGAATAATGAAATTAAATAATACGTTAGCGAGAAAAAGTCAAATTTAAATTTCAGATCTGTTTTACAACACCACTATTGCATATTTAGATAGCAATATTTGCTCTCTCGCCTTTTTACGATGAATATACATTATTAAAAATGAATACCCTTAAACCCGAAATTTTGATGAGAAAAAAAAATTAATGTGAGTTCTTAGTTTCTTAAAAATGGGTACTCGAACAGATTATTTTAAAGAAATGTGATTACTATACTTTTTAAAAAAGTTATTAACGAAAAATTCATGAGATAAGAGCAGTGATAACAGGTGATGCATGAGCGTTCAGAAATTGCTTTTATTTACAACGGTAATTTAATTTTATGTTATCTAAAAATTTAAACATCATTATATCACCCAATAAAAATAAATTTCTAAATCGACAAAATAATTTTAGTGTACCGCTATTAATCTCTTGTTTTCCTTTGTCTTCCATCGAAGTATACAAAAGTAATATAAGCAAAAATATTGTTTTTGTCTGTTCTAGAGCGTGCTTAATTCATGTAACAAAGTAAAATTATTCTCCTAGTTAAATTATTTAGAAATACTGGTAATGTGTTAACAATATTTTCCATTAATAATAATATGGACTATTTCTCGTTCCCGTAAATTTTTTAACTGCTGTGATATCCCATAAACGTGGATATCGTACCGGCATTAGCCTGGTTAAACGACAGTCTACCATTTAAGTATAATATATTGTATGAAAATAATAAAAAAAGAAGAATAGAGTACGAGGACTATTTAATATGTAATAATAATAAGTAAAAAAAGTAAGAAAGAAAAGAGCTCCGAAAAAGTAATTCTGTATTCTTAAACCATTCTTTGCTACTACTTAATGAATTTATCAGTTTTATAGTATACGTGCATGATAGAAGAAAACACACACAAAAATTCTGTAGTATATGGCATAAGTAATTTATAATTTATATAGTTCAAAACTTTTCTTTTGATGCAGTATAATTATTTTGTTAAGTAACCAACTTTTTTTCTCCTCGAATTGATGTAGAGATTATTCGAAAAATATTGAAATATATTCATTCGAACATTATTTTGTTCTAAAAAATTAGATTAAGAAGCTGAAAATATACGAAACAGTGTAAGGCAGTTTTAATAAAATTTTGTGTTTAATTCTGCAGTAAAACGAAATATAGAGCTTTGCTTACATTTCTGTCGAAGGAATGGACAGCTTCTCTAGTTTCAACTTGTTCCTTTGGCTCCGCGCGACGTGTTCCAACATATCCCTCAGCAGCTCCACTAAGGCTGTAAACTGTCAGAGAAAAAGGATCTTATATTTAATTTTAGGATGAGAAGCAAAATCTTAAAATCTTATTTCTAAAATGTCTAAAACTACATTTTAGACTGTTATTTCTAAAAAAGATTTGTAGTGTCTGAAAAAATAAATGTCCAGAGGCTGGATCATTCCCGTAAATCCTTCAGGTACCAGGTCTTTTTCTGTGACTTTACCATCAGGTACTTCGGAAGCAGACAATGCATGAACATACAAAAACTAGAGACGTCGTTACAGAAATACGTCCATCTGTACACACTTCAATGATACATTGTTGGTTTTACAGCTCCTAAACGCTTGTCGTTCTGCCCCTAAGACTTCACAGTTTTTCTTCTTGTAATATAAATATAAACTTTCGAAAAAAATATGGGTTTCCGGAAAACCGGTATCAAAGGATAGAAGGGGTTTACTTGTCAGTTTTGGTCATAATCTTGTTCTTCAGCTTTTCATTAAAAATCAGCTAACCCTGACTGGTTACGCACGCAGGGTGTTTTGTAAATTTTGGAATAGTAAAAGTGAATTAAATTTGCGAAATTATTTTTAAATGTTTGTTAGCATTATATAAGGTCATCAAAAAGATGGACTGATTTTTAAGAAGTTGTTAAGAAAACTGTTTGAGAAAGGTTTGCAAATTTTTTACAAAATTAACACAAAAGTTAAAATTTTTTTAGTGTATAACTAGAAAACTTTAATACGAGTTCTGTTAACTGGTGTGCAGTTGTCAATGCAGTCTTATGGTTCCATCCACGGAAACGGGAGCGTATCTCGTATAACTGTAGTAAAGACAGAAATGATGTCTTTTGCAGTATCTATTTCCCATACGTTAAACGAAAACTGCGTTGAAATACCTGAAATTTTTGTACCAAACGATACGCCCTGAACTTTTATAGTGCGGTCTTCATACGAAATGTGTGATTAAGAACGTGGTAAAACTGTTACTGAATAAAGCTTCATTGTAAAGTTAATCACCCTTTTTAAAATTAAAACCTGGCAATTTTCTAATTATTTCGGTGTAAAAACAGAGAAAACTGATTCATGGTAAACACAACATAGTAATTTAAAGTTCTGTTTAGCATTTTCGATGACTTTGTACTTTGAAAATGTCCGAATTTAGTATTCATCTTGACGAACTCGAAGGTTGAAGCAATTAATCTAAATGGACATGAAAGGTTAGACTATTTTTAAAAGTATGATCTGATTTATGCTTATTAAATACTGATTTGATTAAATACTGATAGCTCGTGTATTTAGTCAAAAGTCTTTGGATACAAATACTGAAAATATACTTAGGAACTTGACACGGACGTAGGACGGAACTTGACACGGACGTTCCTTGACGTAGGAACTTGACATTGCGAAAACAACAGCTTCGATAGTTCGTTCCTTAAGCCAGTCTATTGCTGATTAACATGTAAAAGTGCAAATGATACCTAATGCTACATTATTAATCTGTATGAAAAGGCAGTATTTAAAAGTTAAATTTCTTGATTACACAATTAGTTCAGATGTAGCGTAACACATATAGATGGAACTGTAGCTGTACTAATCGCAAAAGGAGAAATTTCTCCGATATTGAATAATGAAATAAAATATCATAGATCTAGAACAATTTCTTTGAAATTAACGTATAATCAGATTTTATTCACCAGGGTTACAAATGGAAATAATTCATCAATTTTTGTAAAACTTAGATAATAATAAGCTTACCACAAAAAACTGATAAGAAAATCTGCTTACCATTGTGCAATAATAAGCCTGATACAGCTGAAAAATTTATTTAATCACGTGCATCGATGTATAAAATTCCGATGAAAAGGGAAATTCAATAGGCAGAGATTGTAATATACTTCCAAAAATCTTAATGATAAAAATAATATTGTAAAACTAACACTTAACTTTTCTTACGAGTATATTCACCTAATGGTATTTGATTGAATTATTTCCTAAATTTTTACGAGTTAGCTCCCTGACTAAAATCAGTCAAAAGCCTATATTTAAAATTCAACAGATTTTATTTGTTTGCTTCTAGCGGGTTGAAATTAAACAGAAAATTTTCAGGCTGAGGATGTATTATTTATTCATATTAGTTGGAAACACTTTATACAACATGTCTTTAAATTTACAGTTATCAACATCAAATCCTCTGAAGCAAGACGCGTAGTTTTAACTTCAGGTAATCAGTATTGAAAGGCAACCTCCAGTGGTTAGGGAAGCAATGCAGCCTCGGACCGATATTAATTCTTTACCGCTCGAATAGCAAGGTAGCATTTAACGAACAGCAAGGTAACTTTGGGCTCAGAAAGACGTTTGAACTTAAGGAGCTTTTGTACTCCCTTGATTATTTTTTAATTTGCATAACGTTCTGAGCGAATATATATAACACGAATTAAAGAAGCCACTCAACTGGTATAGTGGTTAGGGTCGCTGATTGCCGTGCCGAAGGGTGCGAGTTCGAATCCCGTAGAAGCTACGGACGTTTGTAAATGTATAGTGTCGGTGTGGCATAGTAGCATTCTAAATATGCGGCGAGCCGAAAATCCTCTCGGTCGGGAGACCCTCGGACCCATCCCCCATGTGCTGTCCATCAAAATTGAGGGCGGAACTGAGCTAAATCGCATTGTCACCTGAATGGTGCTCAAGACTGTCGCCAACGGCAGGCGTAATCTAGCGCTCCTTGCGACGAGAAATTCCGTGGGCTTGGGCTAACTTCGTCAGAAAAGTGAGCATAGACAACAACAACAACACGAATTAAAGAAAGATGGTGTTTAAATTACTTTTAACTCTCGGGCAAAAAACTTAAAACAACTGTTAGTATAATTTTATAAAATGTTCACAAATGATGTAGCAGATTCTTGGGTGTGTCACTTTTGTGCAATCTCTGAAGGCAAGTATCTACTCCTAATGGAATAACGTAGGTTGATAATAACGCTGAAGTCCAAACTTTGTCATGATAAATGTCAGGATTCAGATGAAAATTTTAATTTCTCATGTTCGAAATTTTTCTTTATATCTCAGACAGACTTGGTAATTAAATATTGTTTCTATATCAGCTCCTCGCTCACTAATATTCAAACCTAAAAATTTTCCAACAACTCTCACAAGATGCAAATTATCGAACTGTAAAGGTCTATCTTAATTTTTCATTTTTTTAATTGGAACGCGAGTTTAAGACAAATTATTCGAGATATAATTGATAGAAGTTTTTTTAAATATCCTATATATTATATATATTAGCTGATAATTAGCAACCTCGATATAAATCTTTAAATTCATTAAAAATTCATTACAATAAATCTCACGAGTTGATTTAGTTCCACTACAGAATAAGACCATTATACTTTTAAATTTCCTCTTTTAGTTTCTAAAAACCGTTAGTAAGAATTTTAGACAGTTCAAATAAATAAGAATTATAGTATTTAAATAGGAAATAATTTATCTTCTCATAAATAGATTTCTTTTGTACTCAAATACAGTAACTAATTCCTGACCCTTTGTTCGTAAAGCTGCATCAAACACTGTTGTTCTTTATATATATATATATATATATATAGAAAAATACGAAGTATTTGCGTTAATTCTTAAAGTTTCCGATGACCTAAACATTCCTCGTGTCTGCACACCAGCTTCCTCGACAAATCCTACAGGGGCTTAAGTAATAAAATATTTACCTCAAAGTGACATGAATGCTATGAAATATGGACTAATCCCAAGAGCTTCTCAAAGACGTGAGGATTAGGCTTAGCGCGCTGTTGGCGGGCGTTGGAAGAAGGGTAATATTTCAGGATTAACAACGGACTGTTGAGCTTGTATTTGCGCTGTAACTTTTCTGTAGAATTTTATGTTATTTTTCCTTTGTTTTTTTAATGTTTTACTTAAACATGATGCTTAAAAATTCCTGTGTATTGACAAGGAGTTTGTGTAAAAAGTTTTCATAATGAGAAAGTTAAAATATATATTTATAAGACTGATTTACCACAAATTTTTAAAATGCGTTTTAATTGCAAATTAAATAAAAAAAATGTCTAATTCTGTGTGAAAAGAGAATTATTTTTTAACGTCTGGAGCTAGCAATTTGTACTTAAAACATTAATTTTCCCTCTTTTAAAGATGATTGAATGCGCCGATAGATCACTGCTATTTCCAGAAAACTCTGCTTCTGCACTAAAGGCCTCGGATAGGAGTCTCGCTCGAATACTTGTGACTGTAATATTTTTGTAGAAAGGGCACTTAAAATCCGTAGGTATGAAAGTTCATTAGCGAAGGTAACGGCAGAGAAGTGCAAACATGCCATATTCGGTTTATATGCTCAGGGTCACGTTGTCGTCCAGTTTTCGTTCTACTTTTAAGTTTGATTTACAATTTTATGCACTGACTTTTCAGATGTACAGCGTGTCATGAAAGCTTTGTAAAAATAACTCTAAACGCATTATGCACGATTTACAGAAATATTATGCAATGGTCATCGATAACAATTACATTTAAAGAAATGAATCAGATAGGCTTTCTTATTAAGAGGAATTTTGTCACGTAACCTCGTTTTAATAAAATTAATACAGAATTAAAATTTTTATGTGGAGCCTCACAGGAAAAAAAAAGCAAGTACACTTTCCTAGAACGAATTAAAAAATGATCAGTTATTATATGCTAAGATTTTAAGGAACGGTAAACAGATATCGCTGTCGCTCCATATGCTAAGTTCTGCATGCGAATGTCTAAAAAATAACGGCATTGCTATTCAAGCATCGATTTAGAAACATAGATTCCATACTATCGTTTGCAGAAATGTCTAAATTCAAAATAACTGTGTGAAATGACTGTCCCTAAAATCGGCGTGTTTCGTCTTTCATCTCAACGTATAAAAAGTTATATGAATCACATAATTATGAGATTTTTTCTCAGTCCCAATTTTGCACATATAACGGATAGGTTTTCAGCTGAGAAATATTTAGAATGTTAGAAAACAGCTCCCTAACCAAAATATTTCTCGTAGAGGACTAGAACAAAAATTTAAATTCATATATATTTCTACTGAACGATATCATCTGATCAAAACCATCCTAAGTTTTAGACCTACCATAGTTGATTCATTTCTTACACTGGAATCACGAATCTACGATAACCGTTCAAGAAGTACATAAATGTTCAGACCTTAGAAACGACTTGTATATTAAAACTACAATGGTTTGCAAACGCATGACTGTTACATTTTACTCAATTTATATCAATATGTTCCACTGGGGAAGTTTTAATGTTAAATTTTAATAAATGGAGCAATTGTTTGTTTCGTTTGATTGAAGAAACTGTATTCTTAATCAAAACTGGAATGATGCTGGGCAAGACAAGGCTTTATCATTGTCAAAATAAATGCATCCACTCATAAGGTTACTTCATTAATGCTGAAGCCCTGGTTGAACAACAACAATAAAAACAGCATGAGTAAATGATGAATGATTCACTTTATTTGTCTGCGTAGAAAAATTGAAGAGATAAGATATACTGTAGAAATGAGACGAGATTGTAGAAAATTGATAAAATCAGAAGATAAAATTAAACTTAAATGAATGATATCAAAATGGTTTTGTCATTGAACCTTGTTCTTGCATATAATAGATCACGAAAGTTTAAATTTTGTTCAAAGGAATGAGAACGCTCTGGTAAAAAAAATAAAGGAATGTTTCGATTATAAAATTCCATTATCTGACAAAAACAGAATCACGTAATGTTAATCTTTTCGGATGTATTCTGAAAATACCTTGTAATAAGGGTGGGAGCTTAAAAACTTTCAGCTGTATAAGAAGACAGTAAACTAATATGAAAATGTTATTAAAAAGCACATTTTCTACACCATCCAAATCATATTTTCTTTTACCAAACTGCAGGTTAGGACATTATTTTTCCTTGAGTTTAGATCAGTACTTCTTGCAATATATGTAGATTTTATTCTCCTAGCCCAAAAATTGAGTTTTTAAGAATTCCAAATTTGAAAGAAATAATTAGTGCACGTTAGAAGACTTATTGCGGATATATTCAGCTACGGGTAAAGAAAATGTTTCATTAATACGACCTTCGTATAATATGCACACATTTATTAAAATTTAATGAAGATACTTATGATGTAAAACAAACAAAAATTTAATTTTATCTGCTATTATTAGTGGAATGTGCACGTGCCTTTTCTCTCTTTTTCCTAAATATGAAAATAACGAGTTTCGATATTTTTTCTTAATGTTAGAAAATATGGAAAAGTAATGAAAACGTACTACTACTATACTGTATAGTACACGTACAGAACAGTTATATTTTAGATTAGGTTAATTTAGTATGGCAGAGAAATTCGAGGGCTATTTGTTTATGAAGTGGGGTGCGTTCGTGGCGAACAATTTAATAGAGGACTTGTATCAACTTTATACACAGAAAAAAAACAGGAAACCTCCCATGCAGCCGATCCGTTCACCAGGATTTGAACCTGGTCGAAGTGTTCAGTGACTTTTTTGTTAGGCCACTATTGGCCTGTAATAACTACGTGAAGAAATATATAAATCGAAAGTCAACTTCAAAAAAAGTCACATTTTAAGAACAAATTGGTCCACAATATTCAAAGAAACCGGGAAAATAGAAGACTGAAAATTAAATATAGTTGCAGAGGAAATACACTTGCTTAATGTAGATGTAATTGGAGCCGAGACTATTATCCACGTTATCATAGTTAACGCAAGTTCATACTGTTTAATTAAAACAGACTGTTGTTTTTACAGTGACATGCATGCATGAAATAGCGATCGAAAACCGTAGGCACAGCAGTATCACTATCATGACTTTACGACATATAGATATAACAGAATACCTGTTTGTAACATTTTAGGAAACCGAAGTGAAATTACGATATGGTTTGAAATAGTAATATACCTGATCCAGCTTGAGTGCAGGGCTGACGACTACTGGAATCAGCGACGGCATTACCTTTGTAGCTAACAAGTTGACAGTTAAGCCGTACCGTTTGTCACCAAGCATGAATTTGTAAATTCCTAGAACGAAAGAAAATAGCGTGAATAATCCATGATAATAAAGAAGAATATTAGAAGTATCGAAGTAATTTATCTAATAAGGAGGAAAATTTATGTGAATGATGAAATGACATATCGCAACATTCAGTTAAATTATGCAGTCATACCAATATTGCAATTCAAAGGTAAATACCATAAAGCAGAATATGTTGTTATCGACATGCTATTATTTTGAAGCATTTTTAATCATGTTAGTACTACAATTTTTAACACAACTGGAATATTAGTAATTTTATACAATTAACACTAGAAGTATATTATTAGCATCCAAAGGACCATTTTTTGCATAGCAGCAAATTAAAATTCAACTGTTTTCCTTTTATGGCACCTTTTGCTTTTTCCATTTCTTTTCCCTTTAGATATAAAAAAGTAGTGATCTGAGCTATTTAATTGCAACAAAGCAAACTTGGATGCTGCTTCGTAATCGTTTGGTTTATTTGATTATGGCAAAATATGAAAGAAGCTCTCTGCCTAAGGGGAGGAATGCCTTCGTGGAAAGCTTTATAAGGAAAACTGGCTTGCATCCATGTTACACATGGAGAAAGTCGCGCAAACACCCATGCAGCCAACCCTTCTCCGAGATTCAAGCCCACGTCGAATTACCAGCATTCAACGCCTTTAAGATTCATAATGGTATAAGAGTGCAAGGCTGCTAGCCTTGTTCTGAAAAAAGCTACGTTAATTTATTTTACAGAGGCATGCATTTGAAATTTAATCATTTCGCATGGATTCATGGAATGTGTTACATATATTTAGTTAGTTTTGATTACTCAAAATCTCAAGTTAAACCACATAGTATTCGTTCTTAGTATCATGATTCATAATATTTGTTCATATTATGTACCCAAAAGGACTGGAAAGAAAATATTGTCAAGTTGGCTCTCGGCAGATCATTCATATTCAAACAAAATTAGGATTCCTAAGTCTAGACCATGTCATGTCAAAATGCGACTACTGTACCTATGTAAGCAACGGTAAAACATTCAGTCTTCAGATATCAAATAAAAAGAGTGTAAAACGTATTTGAAGGTTACTTGAAATATGTGCTCCAAGACGAAGGAGACAAACTATCTTGAGACATAGTTTAAATTTTGGAAGTGTTGCCATATACATTTAGCGTCTATTAAAAAAGAAACATAAACGTGCAGTTAAATACCGATAATGGCTTTTCTAAATTATGGAAAAGCGGTGATGTGCCGTGATTTTTATCAAAGGTGAGTAAATATGAATAAAAATTAGAATCCTCTGTACAACGATTAACCCTACCTTTAGATGAATTTATGTTCTCGAAATACTAGGCACTTTTAGAAGTGATCGTCTTTGGGAGGCTTTACATTATTTAGAATAGGAAAACTAATGATCGGAGTATTGCGTAGCAGGCTCTTAAAACCTTAGTGAATGTTCTTTAAACCTTGATAATGTAATAAAAATTTAATGAATAATTTTTTAATTTAATGTAGGCCATAAAAATAAATACTACTTTGGAATCACGGGCACAATGCTTTTTTTATACAAACGAGAACATATGGAGTAGAATTATTCTTTATGATTATTTGTTGATTCTTTTAAAAAATATGGTATCCCCTAAAGATCTGTAGACATATCAATGAGACTAAGGACTGTAACACAGAAAGCTGATCAGTGCGTAGTCATTTAGTGTCTTCATAACTTCCTTCGTAAAGCTGCTTTTGAAGGGACTCATTCTTCGTTACCAATTCTTTCTCCATAGTTTAAACTCCGAATTATTGTGCTAATATATTTACTTCGAATTCTTTCACGCATTATAAGAAAACTTTCATGGTCATGAACTATAATTTAGTATTATAAGTTAAATTAATTTTTTATGATAAGAAATCTGTAGTTAACAACACGTCTAAGATTACTATGGGAACAGGTGAAAATAGCTCTTCTTCTGATGAAGCTGTCGCAACTGGAAAGCATTCCAGTGAAAATCCCATTTGTATGATTTCACACTCGAACGCGAAATGTTTTCGAAACAGGTAGAATGATGCTAAAATTTGTGAAAGCTAGATAAAAATTACTTGAAAGTATTATTATTTAAATACAAAACGCTAGGGGTCTAGACTGATACCTCTAATTTATTAACAGCATGCTGTCGTGCAAAACGATTCCCATATTTTCAATTTGTTTTGAGAAAGAAGCCTCTTACGTTTGGACTTTCAAATTTTTATAAATTTTACTTTCACCTTTCTAGACAACTGCTAAAATGAATTATTTATTTTGCCAGAAATGAACATTCTGCATTTCCAAAATCTAATATCTGTTTCAAAAGCTACATCTATCCAGAAACATACTTGCTCAATCTTTGTTTCTGCAGTCTCTGTTTATTTTTTCAATCGAACTGTTATATACATTATAGAGATAAAAGAGGGTTTAACAAGACATTTTATACTAATTTTTCCATATTTTTCTACATAAAGTTCTACAAACATTGTCGGATCTATTAATATATACAATTATTTAATATTGGTGTGTATCCTATTGGGTGGAGTCATTGCCACAACAGATGTTTCACTTGAAATCATTTTTATCCAATTCTTTTGTCTTTCTTAGTAAGAAAAAAACAACCCTTTAAAATTGTTGATTTTGCTACGGAGTTCGATAAGGGAAGTACTGTTAGCTTTAAACCGCTTCAGCTTTTAGTTAGTGGAAAAGGAATTGAACATAGGCCACACATATCATGTTATTTTTATACTGAAAGCGCTTTCAATTCGAGTGATTGCATCAGGAAAAAAAACCACGGGAGTTTATAAGCGCATTGGAAAGTTTCATTTTGAAAGTGGATTGGATTGTCCAGAAGATTTGTTTCGTGCTACTGAAATAATTTTATATTTTCGAAAGATTTCATAGGATTCTGTTAAGATACTTGTCACATCGAATCTAAGTACGAGTAAAATCTCGCGATTTGAAATGAATTGATCGTTTAGAAATTTAATAAACATTCCTTGCCTTCTAACCCTGTTTTGAAGCGCAGAACCAATGAAACATATTTTTATATTTTGAAAGTGTTAATGGAACGCTATCTAAATTTTACAAAGCCGCTTAGTGTAATATCAATTTAAGGTATACCCGGCTTAGTAGAATAAATTTTATATGCTTAAAATAATTTCAGTAACTAAAGGCTTATTCTATTAAGCAAACTTGATTTTATTTTCAAATGCTTTGTTCAAAGTAAAAATTATTAAGTACATGAAATGGAAGTTAAAAATTAAAATTAAGCGAAGTGAGTCTTATTAAAATTTAACAAATCAGCTTTATTGAATCAATTTTTCAAAGCCTCTACTTTATTTCACTTTTAGTTCACTAGTTTACGTGCAAAAGTTAAGGAATTCTGCATGCTTTTAAGTATTTGAAGGACAGAAGTTTAAAATATGTGCGACAGCATATGATTTGAGAAAAGAGGCAGATTTTGGCACAATTTTATAAAATGAATGTTATTATCCGGAAGAGGCATTAACCCAGAAGGTCTGTTAGTCTCGAAACGCATTTTGCGTTAATTCATTGTAAATGGCAGTATCACTTTTCAGATAGTTGCCACCAAATATTATTGTCCTGTATTATGTTTAAAGAAATTAAATAATGAAAAATCTGCATGAATGTATGGATGTTTCTCGCACTGCCATAAAACAACGGTACCTAAAGCCATCATATTTTAAATAACGTAGCCCTTCACCCGATTATGGGCATCTGGAAGCCCGAATTTGGAATTTATTGTCTATTTCATATGTTGTAAAACTTTAACGAATTCTTGATTAACAAACTGAACGATTTTAAAGCGAGCAATGGCAACACTGTACGGAAAGAAACATTTTTATCTCCGCGAGAGACTCTCCATCCGAAATTCTAAACATATGCAATTTTTAAATATATTTAGCTCAAAGGGGCATTGGCTAAAATGCTCTCGAAAAGTATATGTGTGTGTTAATTAAAAAGTACGCTCCTTTGAGCATAATATAAAGCTTTCAGATTTTTTCTACTAATTTTGCTTTTTATTTTGCTATTCATCGGTTTTATTATTCTACATCCTAATTTTTTTTTTCAATAAACTTCAGGTATGGGGAAAAAACAACGGCCTAGGCAAATTTCATGTCGCTCTGATTTAATCATACTTATCCAGAAACTAGATAAGGCCCCAAACTATTGGATATATAGAACCCTCTGTAAGTCTGTTATAATATATTTTAATACTATTTATACCATATTTCAATTTTTTGAAGGCCCCTAAGAAAGTGGGGGGGGGCATAAGCTATAGATTGTGTGGCTTATACGTAAGTCAGGCTCTAGACGTATCATACACAATTTTCAAGGCGGACTTTGGTATAATATTAAAATTATAACTTGCACATAAAATAATCTAATGGAATTCATTTACAATTTGAATTAATTTTATTTCGAAAAAAAAGGATATGGAAAGCATAGTTGGAATTCGCACCGCTGCATAGTTTAAATCGCTGCATAGTTGGAATTCGCACCATTGTAAATGGTCTGACGGAGTAAAAACCAGACATATAAAAGGAAAAGAAAAAAACGACGAAAGTTACGGGATTTTGTCAGCCTAGAAAACTCTTGATGTAGTTCGTCTACACAAACCAGAATAAAAGGTCTAACATGATAATTAAAAGTAAAAGAACAAGAAAATGACAGCAAATGGGCAGCGTAAACAAGAAAATAAGCATATACTAGACAAGATGTTAGACTACGCGGGAGAACAAATTGAGCTCGAATTTAAACGGCGACATAATTTTGCATTAATTTGTGTTCAGCCTATTACCTGAAAAATAATCTCTATGTCTTGTCAATGGAAGACAAGAAAAATTCAATAAAGTTTTTTCCAACAACCTAATTAAAAATTTATTTAAATTTAATTATTGTTCTATTTAAACGTTGTTTTAAGCAATTAATTTTTGCCTTGATTAAAAACCCGTGACGAATGTTTACCT